CTAAACAAGCATTTCCTTCAAGATGGATAAGATCAAAAATATGTGATGGCTGCAAAAGAAACCCTCAAATTAAGCAGCAACAGTTCAACAGTCTCTTATAGTCCTTTATCCCTACCCGACTCAATGTCAGAAAGAACCACTGCTCATTGAAACTGACATATTTCAGCGGGAAAGGTTTACAGTGAACCTTGTCTGCTTTAGCTGATTTGCCATTATTCTGAATCACTTCTCTTTCCAAGCTTTTGAATGGATGCTGTATAACTTCATCTTGCCACAGCCAATAATGAAAGCTCCCTAAGATCCTGAGGGATTCTTGATAGAACAATCCACCATACATGATACATTATTGGCCATTTTATTAGGTACACATCTAACCATGCACTTATGCGTCAGCATATCAATGTATTTAGGTGTGCAGTATTCAGAAATTGCTGCTCTACTGGGATTTTTTCACATAACCATCAATAGGTCCTAATAAGAGAAAATATCCAGTGAGCAGAGTTCTCTGGGTAAAAACGTCTTGTTTAGGTCAGAGGAGGATAGCCAGACTGCTTTGGGCTGATAAGTAGAAACTGTTAAAGTGCAGTAGAGCATCTCTGAACAGACAACATGTGTAAGACCAACTGAGTGTCATTTCTGTCAGCTAAGATCAAGAAATCCAGGCCACAATTCACACAAGTTCACCAAAAATTGGCTGATCTGATGATTCTTGATTTAAAGTAAACATAAAAGCATGGCTCCGTCATGCCTTGTATCAACAGTTCAGGCTGCTGCTGGGGGTGTAATGGTGTAGGGCAGGGGTAGGGGAACTCCAGGCCTCAAGGGCCGGTGTCCTGCAGGTTTTAGATGTGTCCTTGATCCAACACAGCTGGATTAAATGGCTAAATTACCTCCTCAACATGTCTTGAAGTTCTTCAGAGGCCTGGTAATAAACTAATGATTTGATTCAGGTGTGTTGACCCAGGGTGATATCTAAAACCTGCAGGACACCAGCCCCTTGAGGCCTGGAGTTCCCCACCCCTGGTGTAGGGAATACTTCCTTGGCACTCTTTGAGCCTTTTGGTACTATTTTAGCATTCTTTAAAAGCTACAGTGACATAAGTATCATTACTCACCACAGCGTACCCATCTTCTGATGGCTGCTTCCAGCATGGTAACATGCTATTACACGAAGCTCAAATCATCTTAGACTGGTTTCTTGAACATGAGAATGAGTTCACTTCACTCTAATGGCCTCCACAGTCATGAGATCTAAATCCAGTAGATCACCTTTGGAATGTGGTGGATTGGAGGATTCACATGATGGATGTGTAGCTGGCATATCTGCAACTGTGCTATTCTAGGAGCTTGGAAAGAAAGCAACTCGTCTTCTTTAAGTTTTTTGAAAGTTCAAGAAACTTCAAAAGGTCCAGTCGCTTTCTTTCCAAGCTCCTTAGACTACCACGACCTGGATGACTCTAAATGAAACTGAACAAATAAATATTATTTCTCTCCCTCCCTCTTTGTTTCTAACAGTTATAACTTTTGTAGCCAGAATCAAGCTGATAGCTTA